GCAAAAATAAATTCTCCATATCATCGCTTACAAGGTCTCCCAAACTATGGCTCTGCGACCAGTTGGAACTGCAAACGTTGCTGGTAAAATCCCTTTCCAAAATTTCGTCCATGGGCGAAATATCAGGGAAGAGGTCTTCGTAATCCATCCTGACTAACTGGCAATTCAACCCGATATAAAACACCTGATTGTACAAGATCGCTTCGAGTTTGGTTATAATTCGGCTGAGCGTTGGGGGTCACTAATCTTCATCCAATCAGAATCCAGTATTTTGACAGGTCTCAGCCCTCGCAGAGTTCGGAAACGGGGAATCCCCTAAATAGTTTGCTTTTCAGCAAACTTGTGATTTTTGTGAAGCACGTACCAACTAGAGCAGGGTGAAAATTATCTTTGGAAACTTTAAATCGTGAATCCTGTTTTATTTTGTACTGAAAAAGTCTGAACAATAAATCCCTTGATGGAAAAAAAGAAATTCGCGGAAATATTTTATCGGAGGCTCTGTGATTGCGTCATACAGATCGTTACATTTTTAGACTCCTATTGTTCAAACACAAAAATATAACTCGCACGATTTAATTTCTAACCTAAACGTTTCTAGAAACGAAAAACTAAAAATTACCTGATTTTACCGTTCGAGTAATTTCCTACAGAGCGGGTGAATCGCGCGAAATCGCGAAGGGAAAGTCCCTTTTAAACTGCCGACCAACATACATAATTATTAAACAATGCAAAAAATGTGAACACCTCGGTGTCAAAAAAACATACGAAATCATTGAGTCCGAAAATATAATTCGGAATGAAGTACATGTAGTTTTTCAGGGTAGTGAATCTTTGGAAGCAAATTAATACTTTTTTGAAGTTTATCAAAAGCGGCAAACGGCTTTGATCAGCGCTCGCTATCAAGTGTCACTCAGTAAAGCTAGAAGGGAAAAACCCCTTCTGAAAAGAATTTCATTTCAGATGCAAATTTCACTTTCGAAACTAAATCCGGTCATTCTTTGTGGCAATAAAATTAATCATTCTCGCAGTATGCTGTTTTTCGTGAAGTTTGGTGAGGTTTGTTTGTTAATTTTCTTTCCAAGTTCGATTTTGGCTCTAATTTTGAGCTTTCGTTTTTTCATTCAAATTTTCCTGGCCCGCCGCTTTTGCGTGATTTTCTAAAAGGGAAAATTCCCTTAACCTTTGGGGCCAAGGATAAATATCACCACTGGAGCGTTTATTCTGCGTGTTTTCATAACAGTTTGGTTGTCAATTCACATGTGTCAAACTGACGTCAAGTTTTCAGCTGTGAAATATGCCAAACACCTTTAGCGGCACAGAGTCCTAGAATGCGAGATTTACACTGGGGCCGCTATTTTTTTTTTCCAGTGATTGAGGTTAGGGGGAGAAGGGGGGTTGCTGTCTGAGATGTCTTCCGTTATGGGAGGGGAGGGTGGGGCGATGAGTTTTCGAACATTGAGTCACATCCTGTACTTGGGAACCTGTAAACAAATTGCACTGAATAGAATTAAACCATGTGGTTCTAGATCACATATATAAAGAGAGAACCTTGTTGTGTAAGTCGTTTTATTTGCAATGTAAAAGAACGCAAGTGAACTCTCGAGGCTCTGTAATACATGTATTTGCCTTAGATATTTTTTTTTAAGGGAAATACCCTTTCTGTGTTTTCGCATGGATCGATATCACGCGTGTCCCATGACTTAGTTTCGATTCCGCGATGTCCCGAAATTTGTTTGCGACTTAATTACTCTGTGTATTAAATACGTAACGCATAAAAAGGATGGCTTTGGAGGGATTTTGCCTCGATTTGGAGCTTTCATTCAGTAAGTTAAAGGGTACTCAAAAAAACCCAACTGAAATCTAATTATTTGCTTGCCCAGATAATAAGGACTTTGTTTTTGTGGAGGTGAAAATGAGGGGTTCCCCTTATTAGTTATTTGAGGCACAAGGTGTTTTCCCTTTATTCCAATTAAAAACAACGGTTAACCTTACTTTCGGGCTTTTATTACCGACATGAAGGCAAGGGAGGAGGAATTTCTCTCGGAGATGGTTGTACCTTCTATTGATTCATTTCATGAAGGGAGTCTTGGTTGGAATGAAGTGCAAGGAATTAATGACAACGGATGCCTCTTAAATAGCATTTACACGATTGAAGAGTTCGGGTTAGTTCCAGAAGCTATGGCCACAGCGAAGCCCCAAGAGGCCACAGGATGGTTTTTACTGACGTCTACGAATCAGTCTCAAAGTCGCCCGGTTTCATTGAAGCTGATGAGAAAGCTAACCGACGACTACCTTGAAAAGGCGACCATTCGAGACCTGAACAAGAAGCTTCGCCGACTTCCAAAAGAATTGAGGCAAAACTTTCGAAAGAGACGGCGAATCCTAAAGAATCGTAAATATTCTCTGAAGTGTCGAAAGAAAGGCGTGGAGAGGGAACATAAAATCGCGGACGAAAATAAGGCACTTGAGTTAGAATTACTCCAAGCGAAGAAAGAATTAAGAAAGATCATCGAAGAGAGGGATGAATATCACAAGCGATATTCAGAATTAAAAACTTCTATTTCTGCCATACAAAAGAACGGACAAGTTTTGGATTATTAAAGGTTGCTGAAGGGTTTTAATGAACAACAGAAAGTCTTGTCTGAACTTTGAAATTAGACTTTGGTACGAAAAATGTAAGATTGTGAACTCCAACAGCTTGACTAATTTACATGTTGCCCGTTAGATACAAAGCCGATATTTAATATCGATGAGTACTCGAGTGGAACCTCATTCAACAACGCGTAACATTGATGAAATGCCAGTTCCTTCACGCTGAATAACCGGTTTTGCAAGTTTCATAACCCTGGTTACAATGCAATACAAACTTTATTGATTCTCTCTGGTTGCATGCACTACATACGAGGTCAGGCGACGTTTTGTTACTGCCATCTATAGACTAGGGGATTCCCCTTACGTAATCTTAGTAGGTGGAGTCAGCCATCATATCTGTCAAAAATGCGCCATCTGATTGGATAATGGAGTACAGTTAGTACACTCCCACATTGCAGCAGAATTAGGACGAACATGTGATCATTTCCTCGCCTTCAGCATGTCCGATGAAGCGCTTTTCGTGGATATTTCTCCTCTGGAAGATATTTTGGAAAAGTTTTTCACAGATAATGACACCCCTTCAAACTGGATTCCAAACCAGAGCTTGATAGAGCTCCCTAGCGAGAAAGACGATGGGGAAAACACGCTGTTGCAGTCGCAAGTAAGTTTTAGCTGCAATGCGGAGTCAGCCATGGACAGCACGCCTCAAAGCCTGCAAAGTTTGCAAGAATTCAACCAACATATATCAGACGACGAGTTAACGAAGTTGTCAGTGCGGGACCTGAACCAAAGGTTAAAATGTTTACCGAAAGCAGAAGCGAAGGTGCATAGAAGACGAAGAAGATGCTTAAAAAACCGTGCGTACGCTACAAGCTGTCGACAACGGCGTACAGCGTTCAAAGAACGACTGGAAACAGAGAACCAGCGGCTAAAAGAGCAGCTACGACAAGCGAAAGAACGTCTTTGCAGCGCAGTGAAAGATAGGGACTCCTATAAAAAGAGATTTGACCGACTACACAAGGCTTATGCAACATTGAATGAGCCTTCTTTTGTTATGGGACATAAACAGTGATTTAATTGTTTTAAGATATAAGTACTTTTGTGGAACGAGGAACTTTTTGTGAATTATCTGACATGTGATTGTAGACTACAGACAGCCAGTCTGACTAATTTTAGCCTTGCCCTTGGATACAGGTTAGTGTAAATGTAATCGTTTATTTATCTCACAACCGCTTAGGATATTTTGAGAGAATTGCAAAAGGGAGAGCCGAGTTTCAACTCAATACATCTAACATTTACCAAAGTCAAGAGGGAAACTCGATGTTCGGTCTTCATTGCCGTACTGTTACATTTTTCACAGAGTGTAATAGAGCTTTCTGGCTATTTTGATTAATTTTAAACAGCGTGATGTATATAATCTGCTAAAGTCGAATAAATGATACTCCCTAAAGAAAATAATGAGGTAATGAGTGCATGTAAATTCTGTAGAGACGATATGATATCAAAACATATATTTTCTTAACGTACAATTTCAAATTCTTGCTCCTTTCCATTGAATAAGCCATGTAAATAGTATAGATTGCGGAAATCGTATTCAATTTTATTCGGAAAATTAAATTGTACATAATATTTGATATGAACTTTAAACAATGCATTGAAACCAACTAATACTGGTAAAACACTTGTCATTGAAGTATCTTTATGTTTTGGATCATTCGTCGGATTTATTTAAATCGTTTAGTTTATATGTAGTCGTGTTATTAATATCTAGATATTATGTTTTGTACATTAAAAGTCTTAGTTTGTCATAAGACATGACAGAAGTACAAAAACGCATTTATAAATAACAAAGTTGCAATTCCAACTGAAGTGTATAGAACTACAATTTTACAATGTTGTGCACAAACTGCAACTTTGCTTTTCTAGTAAACTGGTATAACTAAATTACTGGTTCATAATACTTTTAGCTTTACATGAGGCATTACTTCAAGAGTGCAGAGCACAATACCCTTGCGGATGTTTGGGAAGCTGGCAAAAAGTATGTTCTAGCTTATCAAGATATTACACGTCTACTTGCTGCATTCTGGTTACTTTTCGCGGTGAAAATGTTTGCGAATTCGGTTTCAACGTTGTCAACAATATTGTCAATGTGGGGAGGGGAAGGGAGGGGAGGCGGAAAATTTAGGTGAAAACCCAACCTAGTATCCACAGTATGTTTAAGTCCGTTCAGACCGCAGGTGTTAAACTCAAGAACTGAACTAAGATGTGTCTTCCTTGAAGCTTTTCATGACTTACTATGTTATAAAATGATTTTAGGACAGATTATCTATCATTAAGTTATTTAACATGCAGTTGTTGCTGCAATTTCGAAACTCGACTAAGTTTCTAGTTCCTTGACTTGACATCTTTCGCATATTAAACTGACTCTCATGACAATCCAATGAGCCAAAATTTAACCCCTTGAACCAATGACCAACTGGTAAACTCCCCCAACTTGAGAATATATATTTCAGCATATTGTTTAACTGAGAAGGACTGTTTTGACGTTAACTATATCATGGCAATTCACAGTGGTACTCAATTCTCATGACCCGAGCAATTAACTTGTTGACTTGACAACAAGAAACTTGATGTTGATTGTAAACACATCAAGAGGTAGACTGAAAATTTGCCTTCTATGAGGAGCCTCTAAATGATTCTCTGCTGTTCTACTTTTTGTAACTATTCTCTTTATTACGTATCTGATTTTTTTATTATTAATATAGTTTTATCTCAAGCCAGGTATTTAACTG